AGTAGTATCTTTTCAGTGACATCTCCAAGTGTTCTTCAATATTTTGGATTGAACAGCAGTAAATGCATGAACACTGTATGAGAATGTACTGGATCTATCGAGAAAGAATTTTCAATTGGCGAAGAACTTGTCAGTAAAGAAAAGAAGGCCAACGAAACATTGATCATTCGTTGCCTAGTACTTCACAAGAACGGAAAACTTGTCAAAAAGTGTGTAAAATGGCTGTTAAAGATAGCCATGAACCAACCTGTTGATGTCAGGAGCACTTCCATTGTTTCAATACACCATCACCTATGTGGGAAAATTTAAATAATTAATGTTATCTGTCGTTGGATACGATGAGAATGCAAGCGAAGATCGAATAGAGATATGAAGAGGAGAGGGAGAAAAGTGGCAATAATGTATTCTGATTGCAACGTAAAGGCAAGTTGTCCGACAAAGAAAAACACAGTATGAAGAATTACCAGTGTAAAGAGGAGGGTCAACAGCTTGTATGAGATAAGGATTCCAAATTACCGAATTGTCGCAATCTTCTGTACGTTGTCAAAATAAATAGAGCGATAAACTCTAATGTTGTAGCACTTGCAGATTTGGATAAGTGACTTGATGTTTAAAAAAAAAAACGAAATTTTATGTTCAAATCGACAAATAGTTATTGCAAAGAAGTGTGACAGTGTTTGAAGATATTAAATAGAAATAACATTCACATTTCATAGATTCATTGTGAATGTGTGTATGATGAACTGAATCGAGAACTTCTACAACGTCACAATGCAGTAAAATATGAACTAATATTAGTAAGACAATATGTCACAATCTGTCATGTTGTCCAAACAAGAACAGTCAATTGCATTAGCATTTTTCTAATGGCTTGTCGAAGAAAATGGATACATATTCTCACTCAAAGTTCCTTGAGATGAATGTTGCTGAATTGTTTTGTAAAAACAATTGTTTTATCGTCGATAATGGGGCACAAACAGTTTCAAAACGTGGAGAAGAAACAAATTATTTGAAGGAATTCACAACAGGATAATAAAGTCTAATCATGCACATATAACTGCTACTACGAAATTAAACGGCATTGGATTGTTTTGACGCATTCAAATTATTATTGAGAGAAATCGAAGAACTAATGCTCTACCTGCCATTGGATGTGAGAGAGGAATGTAAAAGAAAATCGGCATAGATATGTTGACATTAAAAGAATCAGCATTGCAGCAAGAAGACGAAAAAGAAAACATTAAAGTATTCTAATGCCGATGACATGCGTCATATAAATTTAAATTGTTTTATGAAGAAATGTGAGGAGTTGTACAAAGATGTACAAAGAACAGATGCATCTTAACAACTTGTCTAAAATTCGATGAAAAGCGTGAATATAGTAATTGCTTCTAGCCGAAAATTGTGTAATATAACAGCGTGATAAGTTATATTAAGTTGGATCAAATAGAAATAGAGTTACGGCGAATTCGTATATCTATGGCAACTTTTATTAATTTCTAATGTATGCAGTGCTCAACACGTTATTTTTTAAAGCATAATTAATCATAATAAAAAATAATTGGTATTCATTCTAATAATTAAGAACGAATACGTATATGATAAAGATATATAAATGTGATGAGAATTGCAATGGTTATAGATTTTTCGCGAATTAATGATAATGTAATCAGAATTGACCAATTCGATCAATTAGCGAAAGGCGATAAACTCTCTTGTAAATACAAGAGAGTACATGGATTACCGGGAAATAAACTAAAGGATTGTAAATTGTTTCGTGGCCAATCCAATTTTTTCTTTTGTACTCTTGTATCTGTAAAAAAGATCGATATCATTCGACTTGACACGTTAATTTACAAAGATGTTTAGAGTATTAGTTCTAAAGAAAAAGAGAGACTTTTTGTGTACAATTGAGCATGTAATACTCTGTATTATTTATATTATCTGATAGCCAATACTAATTTTCTCGTGAGCCTTTTTTACTCTTTAATTCGCCAGCGGTTTTGGTAAAATTTATCAGTGCCATGTTTGGGAAATTATATGTTATATAAACGACCTTGTAATTTAACGTAAGGATTTTAACTACTCAACGAGGCATATGTGTATGGGCTTAAGATAATGTTTTCAGTGATGAAAAAGTTCATCTTGAGATGAATTAAAGAAAAATACGATAAAATATTTAATTGCACAAGTCACAACTCGTAAATAGAAACTCGTCAATTGAAGTTCCTTAGTTACTTCCTATTACATTATACTACAACAATAATTCAATTTATATTGTGTATGGATTCATTTTAATCAGAATGATATTCAATATACTGTCTTATAGTAGAGTTATACAAATTTATATTTCTACGAATATAATTAAAAAAAAAAAAAAAAAAATGGAACCTAAGTGTAGAATTGTTCCATCTAATATACTTTAATTATTCTATCCATTACGGTGGATTAATTATTCTATCGATTATTACGTGCACTGTATTTCAGTGTGATCGATTTTTGCGTCTTCAAATTTTCCATTAAGTCCATTAATTGTTATCCTGTTCAATAGTAAGAAATTATTTCTTTTTTTTGGATGGAGGGATTTTTCCCATGCTATATTTGCGTTTTCTGAGGCATTATATTCTGCTGAATAGTATACGAGAATATAGTACTGTAATATTCAGATAATATTCGTTATGTTCAGTCTATTCGGATAATACTTTGTATCTCAATATTGAACAGAATACTAAAATACGAGTATTGCCACATGAAAATATACAAATGATAGTAATATTTGAATTCATCTTGAGAAACGTCTATAATTGTAGGTGTTGAAAAATGGTGTAAAGTTTTTCGTCGTTTGTTATTTCAAATGTTTTTAAAATTATGTGCACTATTAAGTAATAATAAATCGTTCTGGACTAGTTTGATAGTAAGCTTTCAAAAACACAAAATGGCGGGAAAATATTTAAATTTAAAATGATTTTATTAAAGGAGTGGAAAAAAAAAGACTAAAACATGATGAAATAGAAATACGTTTTTCGATCGTAAACAAATGAATCTTCATATAATCAAAGTTTTCTAAGTCCATCTCCATCGACTTATCGAGTACCTGGATATTCGAAAAAAATATCTGAGTAAGTGAGAAATACCAGGTAATGTTCCATTTGAATACTCTACCCGAATCGGATATTTTTAATGTTTAATTTATATTTTCCGACTTCAATGTATTCAATATCGTTTATTATTCAAACAATGTTTTCCTGGATGACAATATCCGCCGGAGATAATAATACATAGCAGATTATCGGCGCCACATAACCACGTAATAAATATAAAAGTGGTACACCATTCTTTGCCATTAACGTCAACTGACCCGGTCGGACATTTTTACATAATAAATATACTGACAGTAAGTGGAGTGACGAGTAACTTGTAATAAAATTAATATCATTACCATTAGAGAGGAACAGAATGGTATTACCACGATAAAATGAAAAGAAAGAAAGAGCTACAGATATGATTAACATTTGGCCGTGAAAAAATTTTTTTCTTAATAATCCCTAAAGTTCTTACAATTTGTCTTGATATGATAGACATTCAGCAGATTTGTTGTTATGTTGGTTTGACTTTTTATCCCTAGGTCGTCCATCCACATCCATTGCGTCAGAAAGTTGGGCATCAGTTTGATTAAACATGATTGTAAGCTAGGACTAACGTAACTATTCGCAACTCTTAAGGAATACGAAATATATTGGACTTAATCTAAGAGATTGAATCGCGTCTATCCAGAGCAGGTCTCGAGTAATGGTATGCTCGAGCAGAGGACTTAGATTAACGGAGCTGCACCCGCTATGGACTGTTGGTGGCCTTCTTGTATCCATAAAGCCTTTGAGTAGTAGCATTTCAGATTTCCTGGTCGATAATTCTAATTTGTGTTGACTACACTATTTAACAAGCGCTTTCGTGACAATATTTGACCACGACAATTAGGTCATCAGTAAATGATACTGACTCGTCCCACTATTTCAATTGCTTCATCGAATATTAGATTCCAAAAGAGAGGTCCCAAAACTGAGCCCTGTGGATAGCATTTGGTGACATTTTTCCTGCAGACTGTTGCTCCTGTCATTATAGCCTTCGTCTCCGTGAGGCAGCTTTTGATGAGGCTATAAATATTCCTAGGACAACACCTAGCCTTGAGGATTCTAAGGATACTTGGCCACTAGACGTTACCGAAAGCTCCAGATATATCAAACAGCAATCCTATAGCAATCCTACTGCCTTTGTGCAGCTCGACTATCGCATCTTCTGTTGATTTGCCTTAAATCAACGATCGGTACAAATCGTACCATTGGTGTATCCTCAATTTTACCGAAGAGACACCGCTTACAAACAAGTAGGCCTTATGTGAATCATCAGCTACATCAAGGTATTTGATTCTGTTCAGGATTCCCTGAAATCGGAAAAACCTGCACCGATCTCGGCACCCCAATTTCATTACAATCCACAGGAAACCAAGTTTCGTTGATTTTTCGTTTTTTATTTTTTATTGTTTATTATTTACTCTGCAAACCGGTCTCCGTTGCAATATTTTCCCAGAATCTTATTATTCAATGAAATGTGACTTAGAAATATGAACAAAATGCGAGCTATCTAATACAATCGAAAAATATTGCTTTCATTAAAAAATGTTCAGCAATTTTAGAAATGAACACAAATAATTATTTAAATTTATAACGTGAAATTATAAAAATTTCCAAATTTTCATCTAAACGTAATACGGAATTTCTGTATTTAATCACTTTCAAATTTTGCAGAATTTTGAGAATTTTGAGAATGTCAAAGGAACTGAAAATCACAAAGTAGGGATTCCTTCAATATCTTAAGATATTAATTGGTTTGCTCATCTTCCAATTTTATGATATTTAGATCCGAATATGTAACATGTTCAAATAGCACGAAATATTGTTCAGTTATTTCGCACGCCATTTCATATGTTACAATCTAATAATTTTTCATGCTAAATCCTATGAATGAAAATTTATATGTTATCAGTAATCCAAGTTATGAAAATGTAATATAGTAGAATACGTATACATATACATATTGTAACAAAGTAAGGATTACGTAGTATTTACTATTACATTGAGATTATTAAGATTTGAATTGTATGCAAAATTATACAACTATTTTTAATTCAAGATAAATCAATCATTTCACGAAATAACTAATTTTGATTCAGGTGCTCCTGTAGGTTCAATTTTATGTGGGACCAAGCAATTTATTACTAATGCAAGAAGAATAAGAAAAGTACTTGGCGGAGGTATGAGACAAGTTGGCATTCTCGCTGCCGCTGGACTCGTCGCACTTGAAAATATTCCTAATTTAGTCAATGATCATAAAAGGGCTTACGCTTTCGCGTCTGCGATAAATGAAACCCGCTCGTCAATATTTTCAGTCGATTTAAATCTCGTACAAACAAATATTGTTTTTATACATGTTGATTCCAACATCGTTAACGCATCAAAGTTCGCTAATTGTTTGCGAGAAATTGATAATAGTGATGATGACCAGGTAGTCGTGAAATGTTTAGCATTGTCCAATTCACTTGTTAGATTTGTATTTTCTTTTGAAATTACAGATGATGATTTAATGTTAGCTATTAAAAAAGTTACGTGTGTTATTAGAAAATTAGAAAAACTTTAACTATGGTAATTATTAGCTAATTATTATTTAATTGTTAAACAGTATTAATACAGGTGTAATAAAAGTATTTTCTCTGGGGTATGTATAATTTTCTTGTATTCAATATAATCAGTCCTTTCCTGTTATGATACGACATGACGCTGATTTTTTAAATCAACTGAATTTATAAAAAAAAATTCTTCATTAACTTTAGATTACATTTAAAAGTTTTTGAAACGAATAGTTCCACGTTATGTGAAAATTCTAAAATTATGGTAGCGTCAATGTCTCCGCGAGTTGAGTCTATCGCGCTGTTCAGTTTGAGTTAAGTTTTAATCTAATTTCTAACAGTGTTGAGCCAAGCACGTAAATAAATAGATATGATAAAATATGATAAAATAGTCCAAGTTCCAGGGAACTAAAATAATTAATATTAAACCTGAAACTTCATGTATACCTATTCCTACTGTGAGGGATCATTTGACCTCTTTTAAAGAAAAAAAAACATATTTATTAAGACAGAATTAAGATCATAAACAATTAGATAGTGAACAAAATTTTTTTATATTTAAAAATAATGTTTATTTTATTCAGTTTCACTACATTGTTTATGAATTATACGACTCTTGATTGTACATTTACCACATACTTTTTTTTTTCACATTTTAACCTTTTAAGTACGGCATTGTGTAGCCTGATAATGCTGTTCTCTACGCGAGCACATTGGAATGAAGTTTTTGATAACTAAATTATAATTTTTCTTAAAGATATAATGCATATACTTGAACTTTAATAATTTGCTTTAATAATACAATTGAGTGTGATATATTTTAAAGCACGGTACGACATATAGACCCACGTCACAATTTTCACACTCATAGCGTGATCTTCGTCTTACATCGTTCTTTGAACATATAATAAAATTTCGTAACGCTTTTTTTAGATTTTTTTGGACTTACAGTGCGATGGAAAATGTTTTCCGGTTAGTCTGAAGGGGTGATCAATGATAGATTTGTTACAGATAACGTTGTTATTCATATGACCAAATTTTTCAAAAATTTCTTTAAATAAGCCAAAAACATCGGTTCGCAAAAATTTGTCCTTTGTCTAATATTCGGAAAAATGTAATATTTCTTTACTCGCGACATTAGTGAGCGAATTACAAAGAAATTGTATATTTCGCTCAATGTTGTCCTTCGTGAGTTTTTAGGAAAGAGCTAGAATCTATCTTGAATTTGCGATATTCATTCGTTTTTTCCACAATAAATGACACTAATTCTTCCGAGAAAAATAGATGGAAGTAATCGATCGGAATTGCAAATCGATTAAACCGGATTTGCGGTTTCAAATTTTCATATGACCAGATCATTTTTCCGCATGTCGTCTCTTCGCGAATATGGGAATCTTCTGATTCTGATGAACTTCTAAACATATTTGAGGTGATTTTGGACAATTGGAACAATAGGTCGTAGTTTTTTTTTACATTTTTCTTGGTGTTCGACAGTTTACTTCTTCTTCTGGTAACATAGGGCGCACATCCTTCTTATAGGCTTGTTCCGCTGATTCTTACGAATCTCTAAATGGTGAGACACTCTCTTCGTTTTGTTGCTATTATTGTCGGGCATAGTATTTTCCGAGGACAACCATTCGGTAACGAGAAGTTCCCGAAATTTTCTTATCTCTATTTTTTTTATTTCTGGCTCTCTGGTACACGATATGAGCATTTATTATAGTTGTTTCTAAGAGTAAATTAGTGCTAATTTCCGATACCACTTGATGCTTTTCTGTATCGTTTCTGTCGATGCCAATTTTTCCATTATTATATGCCATTATCGCCAAAGGTTTCTGTTCCGGAGGACGACCGCGATGAATAGAATCCGAGCTTGAAGTCATAATGGGTGCATGTGTTGTTGATAATATTCTAACATCGCGAACATCTCTCTATTTTAGCACCACAATACCGTTGTCATCTTCTCGTGCTATCATTTCACCTCTTCAGTGGGTACGACATTACAAAATGAATTGGCATAAATTTTTTGTTGTACCGTACAGTTCCAACGACATGTGTCTTAAAATTTAAAAATTTGACTGCTAATTCGTAGCTCGTGTAAAAGTTGTCGACATAGTTCGTCCTTCATTTAGTAATTTATCTGCAAGTTCAATGCAGACGTCTTCG